CCAAGAACTTTGAGGGTGAGGACTGAGGTTGGGTAGTGTGGCTCCAGGCTAACTTCCATGCTAGAGGTAGAAAACCGCTGTTCCGTGTATTGCCCTTGCAAAATGTATTGGTCAAGCCTGGCTGCCCTCTTTTGCCTTATATCCAAACCCTGGATCAGAGTCACAAGATGTGAGTGAGCTCAGGGCAACACTACGGATGAAGCGACAAGACCCCGCTGCGGCATGAGTGGATGGGCTGAGTGTGGTGGTGGGGACTTGGAAAATCTAAGGATGGGGCCAGTTGAAAACACAAAGCAGGGTGGAGGGGAATGGGATGAAGGTCCGTTGCCCCGCTGCAAAATGAGCTTTCCCCTCCCCCTATTTGGAACTTTATAGTTGGTAGCTGAGCTATTGGGAGGAATACCTTGGGGGAAAGAGCTCAGGGAAAGGGAAAGACGGGAGAAGGGTCTCACTCTGGTGGCTTAGGGCATGGGTAGGGACAGTAGCCTGTCGCCGAGGGGCATCCAATAGGCCAACAACAGAGGATCACATTCACATGGACTCAAGCTGGAGCAAGGAGCCAGCCAGGTTTCTGAGTCTCCGCGAGGGGGCGGGGGGGGGGGGGGGGGGGGGGCGCCCAAGGGCGGCGAGGGAAAAAGCTACCCTCCCCCCCTTTCTCCCCTCCCGGACCACTCTGAAAAAAAAAAAAAAAAAAAAAAAAAAAAACCAAAACCAAAACCAAAAAAAAAAAAAACCCCACAAGGGAACACTCTCAAAAAAGGCCAAGTTCACGGCAAGACTACTTGGGCATCTCAGAGGCTAAGGGCATCCAGGGGTGTGAGCAGGAGAGCAAGGCAGAATGGAAGATGGTGGTCAGGAAGAAGTGTCTTCTTTCTTGGAGCCCTTGGTGCTGAGACACAAAGCGATCTCGGGAAGGATGGCGTGGTAGCCATCTGTCCAGCCGCCACAAGCCCTCTCCCTTTGCAATCTTTGGGGCCTTGGAGAGCAGAACTAGATAATCGTGACCACAGGTCTTCCAGGTCTGAATATGCCTGCCGCTATCCCAGCCCCCTGCTGTTGTCCCACAAGTACCTAGACTTTGAAGAAGGGGACTTAAAAGAAATGCTTTACCAGAGACTCTGTGGAATACTGAACTTTATCCAGCAGGATTCGGGGCAGAATTTCCTTTACTCTGAAACAGGGAGTCTCAAGACTAGTAGAAAAAAGATCTGCAGGAGAAAAACAGGCCTCAAAACATGGCAGGAATAAAGTAGGAGGGGGGAGTCCTGAGCTGTAGCATTCTTGCCTTGAAACCATGACCTGACGTCATGACAGGAGCCACCTGTTCCAAGCAGCTGGGGGGTGGGCGGCGGGGGGGAAGATACCCCGGTGTGCTCTCTCAGATAATCGTTTGCAAAAGGCTGAGCCTGTAGGAACAGCCTTCCGGGAGAGCCAGCAGTTGGCAAAAAGGCAGCAAATGACTAACAGGCACAAGGTCAATCCTTGGCCTGAAAATGAGGTGTGAATTAACTTCCAGTATGTTCCTGCCCCGTGGTTGTATTAATTCTAATCCTCCCTTCTCCCATTTGCAGCTATTGAGGGCAGTATAGAGGACTCTGGTGACCTCAGTTATCATGTGATGGGCAGGGGTGGGGGGTGGGGGTTTGGCATCCCTAGAGGACGCATCTGGCGGGAGGCTAGGGGTGCAAACTGAAAGGTAGGAAGCTGGCTCCCCCTCCTGACCAAATGTAATGGCTGTTTTCACCAATAGGGCATTTACTCCCTCAGTGGTCTTTAGCCCGCTTGGGGGGCCCAGCAGCAGTGCAGAACCTTCTTTCTTCATCCTCACTTCCAGAGTTGTCGGGGAGGTGCCTCCAATAACCAGATTCCTTTCCAGAAGCTTACCCTCCGCCACAACCAAGAGCTACTAAGAGATGGTAGGAGGCAAGATTGCTAAGAGGGGCAGGTTTTCCTTTTTTTTAACTGCAGGCATTTTCCATGATCCTAATACCCCTCAGGTCAAGGGCTACATACTATTAACAGTCCAATTAAAGAACTCTCTAGCAGAAAATGCTTCAATTCCCAATCTGGCAGGGAGACCAGCAGCCCCAATTTGAAATGACTCTTTTATAAAGGCATTAGCTTGGGGACTCAGTGTGGTGAGGTTAGTGCTGTTCGAAGGAATCTCCCCTCTGGCTTGGAGGGTGGAAGGTGAGGGACGTGGCGTAGAAGCTGGGGATGCCTTTGGCTCAGCAGCAGTCATCTGGCCCTTACAGGTGCAGGCCCATTTGGCTTCGGTGCCTCCCCCTCCCACCGCACCACGTCTGCTCCTGCTGCTGTTCCCTAGTCGAGAATCACTTGCCTTCCAGGGCACTTGGGGCGCTCCCATTAGAGGCAAAAACGAGATGGCCTCAGAGGTGCTATGGCACTTTGCTGGGTGTCACAGGAAACTGAATACTGACCCTCCCCCAGGCAGAGGGGCCAAAGGTGGGGACCGAGGGATTATCTAGGAACTGGATTCCCCAAGGGGGCCTACAGTAGAGTCAAAATGTTCGGACACAGCAAGCCCCGTGCCACTGATCCAATACTTGAGGGAACTGCACGGTTGGCAGGTTAGGGCACCGAGGCTCCATGTCAGTGGCTGCCGGAGCGTCGGCCCGATTAGCTCCAGAAGCATGTGGCTTCTCCCGAAGTAAAAGAACTCCCTTATTTGATGAGGCACCAAAATAACAAAAACAAAAACCCAGTGAGCGTTCTGGAATGCATAATTCATTCAATTGTACACATTCATCTTCCCCAGTTTTTAATTAGAAGGCCTGAAATTAAATGCCACACGTGTGTCTACTACTGATAGAGGGAAAGTTTGCATTTGGCAAAATTGGTTCCAAATGAATAAATTCCAGAGATTGAGAAAGCACTGAATTTCTAGCCCTGGGAAGAAGAACTGGAGATCCAGCAGGCCCGACACGCACTGCACCTCACGTATAAGGCACAGAATCTCACCGTATTTGGTTCTCGGTAAACCCCCGACTTCTCAAGGTCTTACTGTTGAACAGAACTTCGGTCAAGGCCTTCTCTGGGCTTAACCACGCAGCTAATGGTCTGAAGACACGGAAGTTAAGAGCTATCCATTGGGCAGCAAGACCCCGAGACCAACCCTGGAGCAGAAAGATCAGCACAGACAAGAAACGGACGAACGAATCACACACAGACACTTTATTAGTTTCCTCTATGAGAGACAGCAACATCAGTCTTTTTAACAGAAATCGCAGGTCACTGGAGAGGCCAAAGAGATGGAAGGAAGATGAAATATTTAAATTAATCAAAAGGCACTACGACCCCACCTAACACCTACTACCACAGCGGTAGCGGGCTAAGGAAGATTACGCTACGGCAAAAATAATCCTGTTAGAGATGACGTAGCAGGAAGCGACTTTGCTTTCCAGAAGACTGTGGTACGAGGAACACTTGCACCCCAGAGGACACCTGGCCAGGGGAAGGGCAAGATGGCTGAAGGTCAAGCCAAATGGAAAGGGACGGGTACAAAGGAGAATCCAAGCAACACAATCCCCAAGCAGGGGGTGAAGGATCAGGCTTTTTCCTCCCAAGAAGCATTCACTGCCCTGTGTGCCGCCTCCCCCCCTACCCCGGGCACCCCCACTCCCTCCAGAGAGCTGCAGCTTTACAGGACTCAGTGGCCTGGCCCGAGCTGGGCTGGGGCGGCCTAGGGTTCTTGCTGTCATTTTGCAGAGACTTTTGAGAGCCTGTCACAGGTTGGGGGTGGGGGGGGGGAACTGGGGTGGCTTTGTTGCCAGTAGTTCTGAACAAAGGAAACCCTGAAGTATTCACATGCAAAGTAGTCTGCGCTTCCCCCCCCTGCACATTCACACCCCTACAGAACACCCTCCGAAGCCTGAACTCTTGCTGTGCGCAGCTCAGCAGTTCATCTCGATCCATCGATCATCTTTCTCTACATTTAGGAGAAATGCTAATATACCCGATGAGGGGTGGAGAAAGCTTCGCCAGAGGCAAGCTGGGCCTTCTGCGGAATTTGTCATCAAATACCAAGGGAAAACAAGGGGGCGGGGTTCACTTTCTTCGTAAAAAGCCTCAGCAGTTACTCTATTATAAAGGGACGTGGCTGAACAGGTAGGAAACCGACTCCCCGTTGTGAGTTCTCCTGATGGCTTCTGCCAGGATCATGGAGATGTCGATCACCTAGGGGAGCCGAGAGGAGCATCAGGTTAGCAGCACACAGACAGATGCCAACCCTGGTGAGCAGCCTGACGAGGGGCCTTCCCCTTAAGGCTGCTGCACTAGGCTGTGTCCCCTCATGAGCCGCCCCCAGCTACCTTCTGCATAGTACTTTTTAACATAACCGCTTGGGAAAGGGCCAAAGTGCTCAAGGAGGAACACCCCTGACTCAGACTCACCAACACGGTGGTGCGCTGACACTTACAGATCCTCAGCAGTGAAAACAAGGGAATGCTTAAGCTGAAAAAACAAATCCTTAAGAAGGACATCGGTGCTCCACTTCTCCATATGAATCTCAGAAAGCTAAGGGATTACTGTACACGTTTTTAATGAGGCAAGGCCTTGTTCTTTTGGCGCCAACAGCCCTTGAACGTTAGTGTCTAATTACTTGGGGGAATTAAAGGAGGGGTCCCGGGACCTCCTGGTTTTATAGGTCTCAGGTGGAGCAAAGGAACCTGCATTTTAACAAGAATCCTAGGTAACTAACTTAGGCTGTTTCCAGAGCATGCTCTGAGAGACACTGAAGTTCTGAGGGGTGTACCCCCCCCCTTTTAAAGGTTTCCCACTGTGTCTGCAGGGGGCCAACAGTTCAGAGTGACACACACGCAAGTGTAAAGCACGGACTTGCAAATTTGGGTGTGAATCACAATCACTGAGAGCGTCCGCTGAAATGCTGTAGTCCCGATGCTCTGTCCTCCAGAGGTTCACCTCACAATCGGAATCTTTACATGTGATTTTTTTTTTTTTTTTTAACTTTTGGGTCACAGATCCTGATGACAGACTCAGCCCTTTAAGAGCAAAGGAGGACATCTTCAGAATCCAGACCCCTAACTCGCCATAGGCAACCACTTCCTGAAAATACTTCGTGGAGTCTTTTTTTGCAAGAACCTCCTCCTCACCTGTATTTTGGAGCAATGCTTCATCTTATCCTCCTGAGGTATGGTATTGGTGACTACTACTGCTTCAAAGCATGCGCTGTTAATGCGGGAAATGGCCGGGCCCGAAAAGATTCCGTGAGTCAAGATCGCATAAACTCTGGTGGCTCCAGCTGACAGAAGTCTAGAGGGAAACGCAGAGTTGCTCTGGATTACTCTCACTTGTCACTAGGGGACCTGAGTTGGGGGGCGGGGGAGGAGTGTATCTGTCAGCCTGGGTGCCTTAAAAACTCGCCCTCTCAGTTCTGGAAGCTGGGACCCCCAAGATCAAGGTGGTTACAAGGTAGTGGTCGCGCTGAGGCCTCTTCTCTTGGCCACCTCCCTGTGCGCTCACGTGACCTCTGCGCGCGCCCATGCACGGGGGAACCAGCTCTCAGTGTCTCTTCTTACAAGGGCACTATTCCCATCATGAGGGTCCCCCCCACGACCTCATCTAAACCTAGGTACTTCCCCCAAAGGCCCCATCTCCAAATATCATCACTGGAAGGGTAGGACTTCCAACGTATGAGCTTTAGGGGGCCATGATTCAGTTCACAGCAAAGAGAAATAATTGGACTAAGAACTTACCCGACTAGGTTTGGATTAACGTAGTAAAACTGGCACAGACTGCTATGCTCAACAAAATCCATTGCCTTCCCCGCACCCCCCACCCCGGGCACACAGCTGGACTACATTTCCCAGCCTCCCTTGCAAAAAGTTAGGCGTGGCCATCTGCCTGAATTCTAGCTATCAGAATGTGAGCAGATGCAATGTATACCACTGGCTGGGCTCAGAAGAATCTTCCATGGGTGATTCTCCATGCTCTTGTTTTCCCTTTCTGGCTGGCCAAACTGGAAATGTCTCCCAAGGTAATCTTGGAAGCCTTATGTTAAAGATGCAGCACCACAAAACTGAAAGAGGGATACCTGCACTGGAGTAAGCCAGGAACAAGAAACTATCATGGTAACGAACTGACATTTCGGGGAGCTGATCTGTTACAGCAGTTAGGGTTAACTTAATCATAAAGGACGAAATGAGTTTTATCAGTGTATACTCCAGGGTCCCAGTCAGGAATTGCTCAGCCCACAAATACTTTTTTAGCCCCTATTATATGCCAGGCCCTCTGCATGGCACAGACACCCTGAGGTTAAGAAAAAATTAGAGGAGAAACAAGGCTCTTCGCAGTGGTGTGGACTATAGCAATGAGGAGCCACTTAAGGTTTTCAAGGAGAGGAGTGATGGGCTCTAGCCTTAGTTTTAGACAGATTAGCAAGGGGGGAGGCAATGAGAGAGATGGACTAGGGAGGTAATAAGAGACTGGTGACTAGCAGCAGAGCGAACAGAGTGAAGGCACAATTTAGTGCAGGCAAGGGGGCACCTGGGTGGCTCAGTCGGTGAAGCGTCTGTCTTCGGCTCAGGTCATGATCCCAGGGTCCTGGGATCGAGCCCTGCATTGGGCTCTCCGCTTAGCAGGGAGCCTGCTTCTCCCTCTCCCTTTGCCTGTCATTTCCCCTGCTTGTGCTCTCTCTCTCTCAAATAAATAAAATCTTAAAAAAAGAAAAAGAAAATCATAAGGAAATTATATTTATAGTACCGCACTGTATTTATAAAAAAAAAAAATGCTTAAGTGGACTCACACAATTCAAATCCGTGTGAAGAGCCAATTCCTATCTTTTCAGGCCCATACATTTCTACTTTAATTTGTTTTTAAAAACGAACAAAAGTCGAGTATTCAGAGTGGTGAAAACATTTTGGAAATAAATACCGTCACACGGCACTGCCAATGTACCTAATGCCACTGAATCGTATACCTAATGGTCAAAACGGCAAATTTTATACTCTATATGGTTTAGCATAATAAAACTCAGAAGATCTGGGGGAAAAAAGAAAATATCCATCAATGTATGCATATTGCAATTCAAAAGCCTCGGGTGATAACAACTCCCAAAGCTAGTTACCAGCCCGCTCGACTTACTTCCACGAAGAATCCATAGGTGTAAGGCACTGAGACAGCGGCTAACTATGTTCCCCTTCTAACCACCAGCCCCACCTCTCCGCACTCACTTGTCGGCTGCGTGGCAGATTGTGCCACACGTGTCAGCCATGTCGTCCACCAGGATGGCCACCCGGTCCTTCACGTCTCCCACCAGCACCATGCGGTCTACTTCGTTGGCCTTTTTCCGCTCTTTGTGAATCAGAGCGAAGTCCACGTTCAACCGGTCTGCAATGGAGGTCACTCTGCAAAACAGGGTGTTTGCAGTTAAAACCTAAGGACGAAAGACAGGGACTAAACCATGGGCTTGCTTTCCGGCGGGGAGGTGGGGGGGGGGAGCACTCTTTGAAACCAAACTGTTCCCAGGGCTAGAAGAAAACAGCTCTCATTGATTGACTTCTCAGAGGCCAACAGCACAGAGTGGGTTTTATAGACTAATGCCTCCATATCCTGAGAGCAGTTTCTGAGCGTATTAGTCAGACTTCGATTATAATTAATTCTGGTTTACAGCGAGCGGGGGATAGCCAGATGCCTCACCAGTCCCAGGAAGCAGTAGGATGCGAAGGCACGTTCATTTAAGAGATTGGCAGCAGAAGGGGGAGAGAGAAGACGTCATTAACTAAGGCCGCGAGTGCACAGATTGGCCCAATTTGACATGCGGATGTTGTGAGAAGTGAACCTGAACCTGGCGGGAGAGGAGTCAGAATGCCTGTGCTCTCACCACACTCCCCTCAGTGCTCCATCAACTGTCAATGTCAACTGTACCTGGACACCAAGCTTGGAAGTTCCTTTTAGGAGCGCTAGAAAGAAAGTTATACCAATTAACCAGGAAAACTGGACATCTGGCTGCACAGCCCGAAGTATCTCCAAGTCAAAACGTCAGTCTCATTTTGCTATTACACAGTAATACAAACTGAACTAGAAGGTGGGACGGGAAGACCGATCTCTGATGACCAAGTCCCGTATAATTCACTCAACCAGAAATCGATTCAGTGTAAACGACAGCGTGCTGCTCAGTGTAAATGACGTGTAGGCCCCCCGCTCCACTGAGCCGTCCTCCCCGTGCATGAAGAAGCCTGTGCTTTGGGTCTTGTTTTTTTAAATGCAGCACTGATCCAACCAGAGCATTATGCCCGGTTTCCGCTGTGACTATGGTCATGTGACGGAGGTTGTGCTGGACAGGGGAGAACGTATGACCCTGTCATAGAGAACACAGAAGATCCAAACCACAACCTGGACGGTTCATGTACCGACCTAGATGAACCACACCCTGTGCTCTCCTCTCCATGACTACGGTGTGGGCAGAGGACGTCAAGAATAACCCATCTGCTTGGAACATTTACTTAATCCAAGACAAACGCACGATCCAATTAGCTCAAGCGTCCCCCACCGTCCAGACTCGATGGCCAACAACCTCAATGACCGACAAAGCGGAAGGGCTGGGAAGGCACTCCCTATACCTCTGAGGGGAGAACTCTGTGCAAGTCACCAGCACACAGGGATCTCCACTTAGTCCGAAAACCCTGCCAAGACAGAAGTGATAATAGCCACTCACTCTGAAAATACTCTACCGCTGTTAAGAGAATTATCAACACACACACAAAATAGTAATGAAGCCATAAGTCACCTACTGAAGGCAGTTTTCCTGGACCCAAATTTGGAAAGAAAATCTTGCCTGATTATTTATTTCGAACACTACTTTCTAAGTCCCATGGCAAGATGGGAAAACACTGGCCAACAAGTTAAGACAAGTTTGACAACTACCATTAGGGAGATGCTTTTTAGGCTTGGTTGCTTTTACAGATGATAACTAGTGATTACGTGGGACTCACGAAGCCATGCATCTGGCTGGATAACGGAACCCAAGTTCGCAGCTTAGCTGTTCTGTTGAAGTTACTGAAATAATGAGGTTGTTGAGAAACAGTCTTTGAAGATTTGAATGGCCTTTAGAAAGATCTGAATTAGCTTTTCCTAATCATCTGTGTTTTGTAGCCTCTTCATTCTATTTCCACAACAAGAAGAACATGTGTCATCCTTTTGAATGCATTACTAATGAGTGATCCACTAAGGAAATCAAGAGCTCTTAGTCCGCGCCACGTGAGCTGTAAAGCACTGAAACTGGCAATCCTTGGCAATCAGTTTGTTTAAAATGTTAAGGTCCTGGTTTTAAATAAAGTTACTCCACTTTATTTTCCTTCCTGCTTAATATCTTAATGCCAGAATGAAGACGGTCTAACCACTGGCATCATGAGGTGTGGAAAAAGCCTACTTGTCCACTAATAGCACGTAGTTCGAAAGCGGGTGCCATTCATCAGAAATCCAAATTTCCCACAATTCCGGATCGCTTCACAGCGGTGTGGCTAGCTCTGCGGTGCCCAGTGACTCATGGGTTTCAGTCAAGCCTACAACATGGTAGCTACTTAAGGGCCCCCTCTGTGCTGTCCTGCCTTTCAGACAGTGACTCAGGCCAGTAAAAGAGGGTTAGTAAAACTATGTCTAGCCCGTGTCCCGGTTCCAGCCATTCTGAAGTAGAGCTGACCCTTGGAAGACACGGGTGTGAACTGTGCAGGTCCACTTATGAGCCGATTTTTTCTTGATGCAGTACAGTACTGTAAATGTATTTTCTCAGCAACATTTTCTTTTCTCTAGCTTGCGTTCTTGTAATATAGTATTTAATACACATAAAATACAACATAGTTAATCGGCTGTTTATGTTATTGGGAATGCTTCCAGTTAACAGTTGGCTACCAGTAGTTAAGTTTTGGTGTGGTCAAAAGTTCTATGTGGATTTTTGACTGCATGGGCGGGGGGCGATGCCCCAAACCCCCATGTTGTTCAAGGGTCAGCCATACTTAAAAACTGTCATCTGCTAGAAAAATATCACTTTCTGGGGCACCTGGAGGGGCTCAGTCAGTTAAGCATCTGCCTTCAGCTAAGGTCATGATCCTAGGGTCCTGGGATCGAGCCCCAGGTCGGGCTCTCTGC